GAAAAGTATTCCCAATAGCAAGTAACAAAAATCAACCTCTTAATGGAGTACGTTCACCCTACTTTCATCGAAATTATCCCCTATGTCTATTTCAAAAAAGTTTACTAATCGACAAAATCTTTTTTTTAGCCTATTGGATTAGATATAAGTGGTGAGGATTCTTGTTTGCATCATTTTTTGTACAGCATTTTTTTCTGCATAATAAAACTAATGCGAGTGGTACTTATAAACCAATCGAAGTTTTTCACGAAACCAAACATTTTACGTTAGAGATACTAAATCAATTGACTATTATATTGGTTATAATTATACTTAATGTTTTTAAAAGAACTATAACATATCGAACAAAAAAATAAATAAATAAAAAACAATCATTATATATTGATATTATTATTGAATTTATTGATATTATATAATAATTTGATAAATTATTATTATTTTTTTTTTTTTGAGAGATAAATGAGATACTATTTGAATGATATAGTTATACTTAAACAAGTTTCAATCAAGATAAATCTTAATTTCTCAATTTGAGTGAAGACAAAAATTTAAAAAATATATCTACTGCTCATTAATTAATAGTAGTAGTACAAAATTGCATTATTAAAATTCATAGAACTGTTCTGAACTTAAATTAAATTATTTTCTTGTAAAATTTGTATTCTCCTTATTTATGAAAATTTATCTTTAAATTAATTGAAAATAGTTGTTGTAACAATTTACTTTAAAAGTTAAACAAATTTTTTCTAACTTTACAACAGTTATCTCTTATATAGTAATAAAATATAAATTTATTTTAAAAATAAAAAAATCTATTAAATAATTATTAATACTATAAAGTCGTCATACACAATATATATTATATTAATTATACAATTCTTTCATAATAATGAAACCCTCTTATCGTTATCACTATTTCATTATATTCATAGTATGACGAAACTATGCGATTTTTTTATGCCTAATACAACCAATAAAAAAAATCATCTATCACGCTCATAATGTAATCACGGGAGCTCCGGAATTATTTTCTACACGAGGAGGGCAAAAACTTAAATGACTAAAAATCGGACCCTTTGATATATATAAAGTTATTTTTTTTTGTAAATTTTAGTGATCATTTATAAATAATCTGGTAGTTTATAAATTTTACCCTTTATAATACATAATAATTTGTATTATGTTATTAATAATTATTGATATTATAATATACTACATAGTTAATAAGATTAAATATGATTATTTTCATTTATTATGATAAAAAAATACTTTATCATTAATTTTGAAAAATATCTAATTCAATTTATGAGACATTCAAAATCATACTTTTTGAGAATAATAACTTTTACTGAATTTAAAATTAAAATCTAGAGGTATAAAGCGTAATTTATTAAGTATACAATACCCAGGGTATAGTAATATTATAAGTAAAAAACAATGAGGGTATAATGACCTCGTTTTATTTTGTTAAAGAACAATTTTTTTAGTAAAATATATAAATTGAATTATAAAAATAAAAATTTTATTTTATTTTATAATCCATTGTAAATATTAAGTTCATTATAAGAAAAAAATATTCCTAAAGGTAAATTTTAAGTGTAACTTTCAAAAATTAAATAGGAGCCTATTATTATTCTTTTTACTGTTAAATGTACAGTGATTTAAATAAAATTTAGACCAGTTGTTAATCAGTATTGTATTATTAATTTTTATGTTAATATAACTTTTAAGAAAGTGGGGTGAGAATCGTAGAAGAATTCTCATTTATGCGTTATGGTAAAAATACAGAATCGCTAAACACTATTCTGTTCCTCACCTTTTCTAAATATTCAATTACTAATATCTCAAAAAGTAATAATACAAAACTGGCTATGGACTAGTCAAAATATTATATACACCGGTCACCATTTAATAGTAAAAATATAATAATAGGTTCTCATCTAACTTTCGAAAATTATCCCTAAAATCTACACTTAAGAATATAGTTTTCTTACTTAAAACTTGATATTTACAATGGATTATATAAATAAAATTAAATTTAAATATTTTAATGAAAAATTCATTAATAACAAAATCATGGCATATTTAATAAATCACACTTGCAAATGAATAAATGACATACTCAATAAAAAACAAATTTAATATTTGGATTACACTGCGGATCCGGCGCCACTGTGCACTCATAATAATTATTATAACTTGAAAAATGTAAATAATAAGTTAAGTATCACAAATGATTTAAAGGGTATCCAATTAATACATGAATAATTATAATATCGTGTTGTAATATAAAAAAATTATCTATAGAAACACTTAACAGAGATATCCGTAGCTTGAGAGTCTAGTGTTATGTTTTTATAATTTTTATTTTTATAAACATTTTCCAAGCTCTTATAATTCATACTTTTTTTGAATTGTGTAAGCACTTAGTGTACCATTATATATTGTATCGTTCTCTAATTGAAATGTTATTCTTTTTCAAGAACGTTATATTACAAATACTACATTATATATACAGAATCGAACAAATCTAACTCCTTTAACTTTTGACACAATCGACATATTATTGTAATTTTTTTTTAATTTATGTATAAGAAAAAATTAGTCTACGTTATAATTATATTTTTTTTTTTCATAATTTCAAAATTGGCTTTTTTAGCCTTTGCTTGTAAGAAAGCCGCTTAAAAATTGTCTGATTTGAAATTTCAAAAAAATTTCAAGTTAAAAAAAATATTTTATTATTATTAGAAACAAATGTAAAAAATATTATTTTAACGTTATCTAAGAAAACATAAATTATATAAAAAAAAATTGCAATGAAATGTTTATGTATCAAAAGTCATAGGAGTTGTTAATTAAACCTTCTTAAAACTTATTTCATCTGTATATTATAATGTCATTTCATCTTTTATAATTCTTCAATTAATTTATTAATAATATTTTTATACATAATTTAATTTTTTTTTTTTTTTTGTAATATTTTTTAGTATAAATATGATAACATTTGTTCCTCATTAATTAATGAACGATTTATTCTGTTTGATTTTTATTCTAATGGTAACTATTTTATTGAAATTAAAAAGTAGTATTAAACAAAAATCAAATGTTTTACAACAAGAAGTTTGATATTCAAGGAACCATTCTCTCATTCCTTGAGTTATACGATTCAACAAAGATAGCAGATTCAACTATTCTCAACAATTATACACAATTGCTTTAGCATAACTCTGAACATCTTCTATTCTATTCTCTACAAAATCAGCAATCTACAAATATACAAAAGCAAGTATTATTCAACGCTTGTCAACTCTATTACTAGTGTTACGATTTGTATGAAAGGTGAAGTAAATTTATACTTAATAGACAAGTTATAAGTTCTAAGGGTTAAGGTTTTACTTAGTAATTAAATTTCATTACATATATAACTAAAGTTTGATCTTTATAAGTACATTTTAAATGATGCGTACAGCTATTGAATATTTTATATTCAATATATATACATATATTGAATATTTATAAAAATAAATATTTTATAGTATACTTTCAATGATGTGAAAAATTACAATTCACTAATATTCGAAACTGTTATGTATTTATTTGATATAATACTAATTCACATAACGTTGCTATATAAATATTTAATTTTTTTATTGCATGATCATTGCGTTATTTTGGAAAATTTGTTTTATACATTTTTTTAAAAATATTTTTTGTTTGGATTTTGTCATTCGAAAGTCAGATTAAATGTTGTAAAATCAAAATTCACATTATTCATAAATATACTTATTATAGTATATGAACTTTTCCACTAAATAAATAGATGAAAATTGTTATGACAAAATAAGATTTCTAGTTTATGCTATTTTAAAAGAATAGCTTAAATATTATTGAACACGCATGTTATTTTCTGAAATACGAGATTAATACAAAATAAATCAAATATATTAAAACATTTTTATAAAATTATGCTTATTAAATAGATAATTACCCAATCAGAAATTAACAAATATAAATTTAAAAAATATACATAATTTAATTCAAAGTAAATAATAATATTTAATAGCTAATTTTTTTTTAAGAAATTATAAAACAAGGTAAATGTAATATAATTATTTAATAATATATATTATTTTATAATTATGTTATGTTTATAAGTTCAAGTGTTAATTTAGAATGATTATTTGTAGAAAATAATCAAAATATGACTTGATTTGGCGTTTAGAATAAACTTTATTAATTACTTTGGTACTTAATATACGCTATAGCGTTGTATTTTTAGAAAAAAGGTTTTTTTATTATCCTATCAAATAAAAAGAGTCGAAAGACATTAAAATGAACAAGGAACTGGACTTAATTAGTCGACAATTAAAAACTAATTTAATATCATGAAATATTTATTCTTAAAATGTCATAAAATGTTAACAATGAATTTAATTAAGATTAAAAATTAAAACAATTATTATTAAAATCAATAGTATTTTACTCTATAACCATAAATTTAGGCTCATCTATTATATGAACTATTTTCATTTATAAATTCAAGATAAAATAAATTCATTAAAAAATATGATTATAACATTTTAAAACTATTAAACAATTTTATCATATACAAATATAAGTATAATTAAACTTAAATAGCATTATTTTAGTGTTATTTATAAAATCATAGTTTTATTTTAGCTTCTCAATTACAAAATTATAAACTTTTCAAAATTTTTTTAATCTTTGTTTTTTATATAAATTAAATATAAAAATATTAGTTGTTTACAAATAAAAATTAAATATTAAAATTATATTCGACAAATAAGTTTTTTATGACTGATAATTTACGAACAATTTTTTTTTAATTTGTAAAAATAATTGATGATGTATAAATAAAAGGAACATGTTTAAAAAAATACTATTAAATTTTATTCTGTTTGATTAGACAAATTGTAAGAATAAAGAATGAGAACAATTTATTGATGTTTATCTACTTAAAAAAAATGCCTAAAGGTATAATAATTAAATTGTTTTTTAACTTGTTTAAAAATAATAACCACTATAGAACAACTGTTTTTTATATTGCAGTTTAACCCAACCTACTCGATAAATAAAGATAAAAATATTTTTAGGATAATTTTAGGATAATTTTAAAGTGAATTATATTTTTTACCAAAAATACATTTTCTTCGTTTGTCCGGTGGATGTTCTGAGTTAATGATTATTCATCCGTGTAAATGTATAATGGACGTGAACAGCATTCATTCAGCGAGTAATGTTCAACAGTACACAGTTGATTCTTATCTGTCGAGAAACCTGTGGGAGTATAGTGGTAAATGTTTTCTTCTTATTATTCTTTTATAACTACGTGTTCTCGTCAAACGAATAATGATAACACTCTAAGATTTTCAAATTACCAAGATACAGATAGGGTTATTTTTTGGATGTCTCCTGTTAACAAACATTTTGATTCACACGAGTAGGACTAGTTGAATATTTCTAGTCACCGGTGAATTGGTTCATTAAAAAAGTTGTTATATTCTGGTTTGTCGTAGTTAGTTGTTATGATTATTGTTGTACAACTTCTATTATACAATTATATACTAAAAATAAGTCGATATAAACGTGCTATGAATCACAATAAAAGTTAGTGTTTTATTTTAGAATTTAAGGAAACCGGCACAAACAAGTGTATAAATAAAAATAACGAAAACTGTGCTAGGTAAAATATAAGTGTCAAAGTGGTCCACGTTCAAGTTGTAATTTAAATTTTGTTTACTGCTTTTATCATTACGTGGTTACTAATGTACGCACTATCTATACGATTATAGTACACACAATATATTATCATAATTACTCTATTATTCTACTTTTATTTTTAAATTATTAAAACGTATCATTTATATTTTTTGAACACTGTATAGATAAAAAATGCGTAACTCATTTTAATATGATGTTGTTTTACATAAAAATTATTCCATCTTATATTAGTTGAATAGGTACATTTTCTAATTTTAAAGATATTATTATTTTTAAAATATGTATATAAATACGCTAATAATAAAAATTTATTAATACAAAATCCATACGTACAAATAAAAAGTAATTTGTAGTAACAAATAGAAAAAATCATTTCAAAATAGTGTAATATACAAAAATACTAAATGAAATATGAGTTATTCACACATTACTCATCTTCTTAATCTGTTAACGTTAATTTTATTACCATAGATTGTAGATTGTAAATTTTTTTAACGAGAATTGTATCAACAGCAGATTTATTTTTGATTACAAAAATAGCATACTTAGTTATAAAGCCTCTCGTGTCTTAGTATAAAAATGTGAATATTAACAATCATTCTAAACTCTGAAAGCCTTTCTCTTAAGAAATCTACAACTTTATTTTTCTTAATTCCACCAATGTACAAATGACAATCTGGATTATATGATAAAGCACTAAAAGTTTTTTGTTCATAGTCGATGCTTTCTATTCAGCATTCGGTTTGTCATCTTTGATTGTGCTTAAAGTTGAATGTATAGACTCGTTCACCAGTGTTTTGTCATCAAGACCAATGTCGTGATTGTTAACACAGTTTCTATTTGTTTTTGCCTTTAATGTTAAACCCTCTACACTTGATGTATTTTGAGTTGGGACTTTTAAATTAGACGTCAACTCATTATTACTAATGGCTAAATTTTTTTATCTTGTTTTGTCCAATCCTTATATAATGGAGGAAAGTCTCCATCAATACCATATCGAATCATTGCACCAATGACATTAAAGTGATTGCCTTTTAGAAAAACAGTCAAGATTTTTGTTCACGGGTTTAATAAACGCATTGATATACATTCACATCATGCGTTTTGTTCTAAATTCGTATATCAACAAATTCTATGTAATCTCACACTCATTAATTAAAAGATTCTCTTATAATCACATTTATTATTACTGCCCGATCGATAGCCGTAGCTATCATTCCAATAAGTGTAGGTTTGGTTACAAGGTGCCACAATTCATCAGTCAAACAGGCAACATAGAGAAACATTGATCGACAAATCATAACCCAAGTTTTCATCGAAAACGTGCTCCATTTCATCAATGTTATTAGAAGATTTTTGATCAATTACACAATTGTTTTCTGAGATCGGAACCTCAACTGTCGAATCATGTTCGTCGACGTCAAATTTTGACTTGCAATACTGTTACAAATAGTATATACTGCATGGCTATCTTCGAAGTCTTGCTGCAGACTTAACGAATTCTCGTTTATGTTCTCATTAAGTTCGATTGAAACCTTAAGCTGTCAGATGCATAAAACAAGGATTAATAAGCTAAAGGTATACCCTTACTGTACTTCATCGATACCATATCGAAGTTCATGTACACATTTTTCGACACGAACAATATATTGTACAAGTCGTGAAAAAAACTTGTGTTTCACAAAAAATCTTTAAAAACTTTTGTAACAAATGGACCAGAATTAAATAATTTATTAGAATATTTGATATTCATATAATATGTATCATACATATTTCGGTTCACTCTTGCTATGTAATATTCATGATGTTTTTTTTAATTTTGAAATAAAAATATTTCTATTTATAGTGTGAAACAAAAAGTTTAAGGTTAATTCATTATTAGAATTGTCATACCAAACACGCAAATGTATTATAGAACTATTAAAACTTCACAGAACTAATAAATTATTTTTATTAGAAAATATTGATTCGTTTTATCATCTTAATGAACTACTGCAAAATCATTAGCTTTTACAACGGCATTTTCTCTATAACAATATAATAAACTCTTATCCAAATATAACTTATTGGCTTTGTAAAATGTTGACATAAAAGTCATTTAAATTTTTTGAAACTCCACTACTTAAATTTAATAAATGGACTAATAGCTTTTATGAATCCTAAATAAAGTTCTATTTCAAAATAAATGAAACTGCTATGTTTTGTGAATGATTTTAAATATATTATGTGCTTGAAAGATAGTTAATAAAAATCAATGAATTATTTTCTTTGAATATTAAACGAGACACTTAAATTTTAACTATTTTTAATAATATAAAGAAAGTATTCAATGAAGTAACCAGTTGTAAATGTATTATATAGTGATGAATTTAAAGAAAACCTAAAACGCCCACTGCTTTGGACTTATAATTTGTATCACGTACAAATAATTTTAGAATGGATACATTAACCAGGTCATTTTTTTAATTATTATTTACAAATTTTAAAATGATAAATAATACACCATTAAAAAATGTATGTTATAAACATAGGTTAACACACCCTCAGAGATATGTTTAGGGAAGAACATATAGTGCAAGTGCTCCGAGTGACACAATTAAAAGTAGCCTAAAGAAAATTATAATCTTAAAAATTTCGTTTAAATGTGTAAATGTTATGATTTGAAAACCCCGGACAATACTGACTGTGTCTTAAGCACCCACCATGATCCACCAATATATATTTGAAATATATCAATGATGGTACATCCTTTAAAAAAATATTTTCTATGTATTTCACTTTTTTTAATAAATTTAAAATATACAAATTTCCTTATTCTATACCTTTTATTGTGTCAGTGCAATGAAAACTTTTAGCTGGTAAAGAAAATACGAATTTTATTTTTGGAAAATATTCCAAAGTTGATATTATACAATTAAAAATAAACTACAAGGATAATAAAAATTTGAATTTTCAAAAGACACAATAATCTTAATGATGAAGGCTGGACTTGAAGGCAGTTATAAAATCAATGCCCTACTTCAGTGTTTAGAAATTTACTATAGGAATGATCCGTATAACTTTCAGAATTCTATGTTCTGAAAATTATACCAAACTTTTGTACTTTCCCAAACTACTATAATTTTGTGTTAATAGGGCAGTGGTTTCCAGACCTTATGACCCTCATGTGAATATGCCAATGTTTCTACTTAGTATTATATTAATTAAAACAAATTTTTTGTATCTATCGGGAAAATAAATTACTATCTAACGTATCAAGATGATCCCCTAAGATGTTGGGCCCAAAGAAGCTGCCTAAGCCAAGATACANTAAAACAAATTTTTTGTATCTATCGGGAAAATAAATTACTATCTAACGTATCAAGATGATCCCCTAAGATGTTGGGCCCAAAGCAGCTGCCTAAGCCAAGATACAATAATATAATCATAAAATACATAATATAATCAAAAAATGAATAATAATTTTACTCGTTTTGATAAAATTATTGTAATTTGATAATCAATTTATTTTATTAATTATGAATAATATTTAATGATAATTAAAGTACATAGATTTATAATACAAAGCTAGCTATATTATATTATAATGTAGGTAATATGAGGAATAATGATCATTAAAAAAGTTTAATTTAAATGGTTTATAAATTATTATAGTTTATAGAATCTGTATGAATTCAAATAAACTAGGAAGTATTTTTAACATATATACTTACGGATAAGCCAAGGTTACGGCCATTGAAAGAATTTCGTTATCCAAATATAATTGTTAATCATTTTTTGGAGCTTAAACCTTGGATATTATTGTTGCCGCGACTAGTCATTTGAATAGCCTTGCTACTACTTTAAATGGCTAAAGTCAACTCTAACTAAAAAATACAAACATAAATTAGCTGTTTATGAAAACAAGAGCCATTATAAGTAAATTGTATTTTTTAAGTTTCTCGGGTGAACTTTACAGTTGTAACAGCTATATTTTCGTATAGGATTTAGTTTATGAAACACCTCGGACAATAAAAAAAAACTTTCACTTTTTCAATTTTAATCATTTAACTCGGTAATGTGTTATTAAAGTCATAATTTGTATATTTTGAAAATTTCTTGAGGAAAACTTTTTCTAATTTTTATGATAACATAAAGCTTGGAATATACATTTTAATTATTCCCAAAAAACTTTATTTAAATTAAAAAATAATTTTTAATTTCCAAAAATTGTATTTATACCGAGCAAAAAAAAAAATTTGGTTCTTATTAATATAATAAGATATAATGAAATATATTTAAATCTACAATTCTTCCACAAAATTATAAATTTATTGTCCATATATATTAATAAACAAATTGGTAAATATTAATCAATTAATAATAACATATTTTTTGCATTTTCGCTTTATCCTATTACACGATTATTCAACATACTTTAAGTTCTCAAAATATGTATTTTGATAACAGCTTTACATTATTATCTATATTTACTAATCAAAATGAAAATGTGTGTCTTAAACGTATTTTAAATACATCACATAAGTTGGCTTCTAAAAGATTTGATACTGTACTTTTTGTGACTATTTTCAGTGATCGATAATAAACTCAGAAGTAATAAATTTATCATCTAATAAAGACAATGTTTTATTCAAGGATATGGTTTTATGATGTTTATACTTTTGCTGACGTCGGTGTTACATGATTTTTAACATACTAGTATGTGTGTTTTTCAGTGTTTGCGTAGAAAAATTTTATTTTATGTTTTATTTAATTATGCAACCAAATTTAAGCAAATATGTTAAATCTAATTTATTTATGTATGTATAGGTGTCAATTATCTAGTTCTGAACTACATTTAGAAACATTTTTATATCTATTTTAATTATGAACTATATGATGAAACATTTTGAACACTTTATATTTAAAATTGAATATCAATTGACATTATATTATTACGTAAGTAAGATTAAAAAACATATACCAAAAATCAAAACTACACTAATATAATTACAACAATTTTTTTACAACTTATTTTTTACTTCTGATGATAATTGACTTCCCTAAAAATATTTTCAACGAAAAAATTATACGTATAATTCAATTCAACAATAATTGGATTAAAACTTTGAATAATTGGATTACAGAGTTAAAACACCTACATAAAGAGTGCACTGCTAAGAAAAAAATTATTGTAATATCAATATCATTTCTACTTCAAATCGATAGTGACAGATAAAAAATTAAATTATTTGGTTTATATTTCATCGACATGCATATATCTGTGCTAACAGATAATTGAGTTACATGAGTACACATATACAAAGACTCTGTAACTGGGTCGACTCCTTTAGACTGTTGAAATATAATTATGATAACAATATTTTATAATTCGTTTATTGATATTAATCAGAACTATCAGATACACATGCAATCTAAGACTATTTGTAAATGATAATTAATCAATGACAATGAAAAGTTTACAAATATTTATCTACCAGAGAACGTTAAACTTATGTCAGAAATGACGCCTGTCTCAGGATGATTACAACAGTCCACGTTTCAAGGGAACTTTGACTGGTACTCGTTAATGCACAGCAAGACCCATGCCGATGACTAATGGCCTAAAGTTAGAATTAAAATTAATATCTATTTACACTTGAGCTGACCTGATCGCCTCTGGCGCATAACTCTCCCCAAACTATATTTTTCTTTCTCAAACCTCTAACAGATGTGCCTGAAACTTCTTCACAAATAAAGATGTTGAAAAGGTAAAATTATATTTAGATTACTGCCTGCTACGCGTTATCTAACAAATTAATTAGCTAAAATATAGAAATATTACTAATAATAATTGATAATTTATTGTAATACTTGTATTAAATATTATTAAACTTGAATATTATCATTTTTTTCTAAAAGCACTTAAAAAAATTCTCACGCAAACATTTTTAACTTTAACCAAAATGATTGCATTTATTAAACAGTAAATTAGCTTAGTATAATAATTTATTGCAATTAATAACATAATATTTTATTTTTATAAACATTATCTGACCTACTCAGAGCTGTAACTTTTTTTTTGAAAAAATAGACGAAATATATTTCAATTTCATTTCATTCGGACAGTGTTTTCTGAAAAGTTTTTATTAGGTGATTTATAAAGAAACGCTCAAAATTTCTATTTAACGTAATACTAATGTAAATATTAAATATTATTAATAAAATATGAGAATACGCAGCATGTACTATAAATGTATTACATTACAGGTGTTGATTACGGTTTTTATGTTAATTCACTTTTCGGAAACTCATTTACATTAAGCCTACAGCTCACAGTTACTGCAGGAGCTCTTGCTTTAACTGATTTATGATCTTTAGACCTAACAGTATTCTGACATTCCAGCAACAATTTCCTCGATGAAAGAGCTTGGTAAAAATTTAAAAAAAGCGTAAAAGAAACATTTTTAATGTGCGAGTATTTATCTTGTCGGATGTCATTATCACCTTACATATTTTTAATGCTAAAAAATTAAGTTAAAGCTACTAAAACATTTTATCGGTATTTCGCTTCGTAAAACGCATAATCAATAATAATAATAATAGTATAAAATAGCACGTTTAAATATTAAACAAATTTACTAAATATTGTTGCAAAATATTTTTAAATTAATTTTGTATAGAATATGAATCTGATTATGAAAAAAAAATAACTCGTATCAACTAAATGCATAAAAAAAAATTTGCTAAACTACTCCAGTAAGTTCATACTATTAAATGAACTTATTGCTTGGGTTTGTGTTAACAGAACGTTACTATAAAGTAAATATTTTCAAATTATTATACTTATACTGAATATTATTTCTTACTCAAATCATTCGTATAATTTCGCCATAGCTTTAAAAAAATGAGATAAATTTTGATGATATACAAATACTTTTTCTATTTAAACGTCATCCTTTATTATTCTATTTATGTTAACTACCATATATAGAGTAAGAAATAATTACATTAAACTTTATAATAGAAATGATAATTTTTTTTAAATATTGCCCATTATTATAAACAGACCGATAGAGATCAATTATTGATCTCCATCCGTAACAGTTCTAATTCGTCTAAGACGAATCAGAGCTGTATATATTTATATTGACACAATGTGTTTAATTCCAGTTCCTATGTCATTTCATTGACTTACTGCCCATATGATATAATAAATTATTGCCTGAGTTATGTTATATCAGCTGTATTTATTCTATGTATAATAAAAATTAAATTTCTTTTTAATCTCGACTAAAAACGGATATACTATATAGCTGAAATCATAAATAATAAATTATTAACTGAACAATGTTCAGTTAATAAATGTCGTTTGTCATTTGAGAGGAGCGTCTATGGCATTTGCCTTAGTCTAATTTTTCAGTACTTAGCAGAACAAAATTATTCGTAAAAAGTCAAAATACTATTTTTGAATAGAAAAAAGGCTGATAAAAATATTTTCAAGGTTGCTAAATTAAATTTTGATTATCTACCTTTTTGTAAATCCGTTCGGTTTTTTGCTTCGTATTAACTTAACGTTCTTTTATTTAATAAAGTCCCATCTATTTAACCTAACCACAAACTCTTCTTCTTGTATGTTCAATCTTCAATGAACTTGTGTATTTTGTATTTTTTCCCTTCAAAAATTATCTTATCCTAGTTTATAAGGACTTAACGGCATTGTATAAAGCCATCCCAGTCAATCATTGGTATGTGACTACTTTTTACGTTGTTTTGGTGTACATCAAGTGTCAACAGATATCAATTACAGCTTTAATTATTTTTTATGTGTACTTCTAAATCATTACTACTAAATTAACTTCGATTTTTAATTTTAAAAATCCTATAGGAGTCCGACAACATATTTGCACCATGGATATATCCATCACGAGTTAAAAATTATACTATAAATAATATTTTAATTATAATTTAAAAGTGTTAAATATTAAAAAATATCTATGATAGACAACAAAAAACTGTATTTATTCTCTGAATTCGTAAATCAAATATTATTTAATATTTTTTTTTCCAAAAATAATTTATATCATCAAGATTGAATTATATCAAGAATTGAATATATATATATATATATATATATATATATTAAATCGTGTATTCTATTAAAACCTATTATATAGGAGAGGTTCTTATAGAATAACGATAAAATGAGCGAACGGTATGATTCTAGTGTTGTTATATTTTTCCCATCATAATTTCAACTAAATAATTTTGTTCGGTTAGACGGATATCCTTTATTTTGCATAGCCATAAACGTTGCTCGTAAACCAGGAGTTACCCTCACTGGACTTGTTATCTACACTTCTGTTAACGCTATCACGATTGAAATCAATATAAAAACATCTCCATGCGCACTATGTTGATATATTTATACATTATGCAAGTGATTTCAGTTTTTTATGATCCTATGAAAAATGAACCGTATGCGATAAACAGCACACCGATTGCAGTTTGTAAGTTTGCCTACTTATGTTATGAGCACCGAAATAAATACAATTATAAAATTATATTATGGCAATGTTGCAGCGAAGGCTAAAAAAACAAAAATCACTCGAGATCAGTCCTATTGCTGGTTACGCATATAGACCAATCCTTGAGTAATTCTATCCTCGTGCACAACAGGTCTTGTATGAAACTGGGATGGTGCCCGCATACACTTTTTTTATAAGTAATTCATTGTATTTTAAAGAAGCCCCATGGAAACTCGATTTACAAAAGTGGACGCAAAATGATAATGCTGGCTAATCGAGAGAGCTCATTGCATCGGAAGACCCATAACAACCGGAGGTAACTATCTCCATCTTAAGGGCGGTATCTTACATGCTTTCTT